TTTTTTTTTGTGAGTGAGATGAATTAATGCATATTCATATTTATTTTGAACTACAGTAACATCTTCTGATTCTGTCAACATGGGGACAGGAGAGCTGTCAATAAATAAATTGGAAAAAAAAGTAACTTGCGTTACTTATTTGAAAAAGTAACTCCAATATTCTCTTGTAAATTAAAAAGTAATGCGTTACTTTACTAGTTACTTGAAAAAAGTAATCTGATTACATAACTCGCGTTACTTGTAATGCGTTACCCCCAACACTGGCCATTATTTAAAATACATTTTTGTTAAGAGATTAATCAGCTCTGCCCAAGATGTTTCTTCTAAAAAAAATTTTTTAGCTCTATACTCTCATTTGTCTCACAACTATAAAATTAAAAATATCATTCAAAGGTTTGGGGTTGGTAAGATTTTACTGTTTTAGAGAAGTCTCTTCTGTTCACCAAGGCTGATGTATTTGATAAAATAAGCAGTAAATACAGTAATATTGAATAGAAGTTCAAAAGAACAGAATTTATTTGAAATAGAAATCTTTTGTATAAATGTCTTTACTGTTTTTTAATGTCTTTTATAAATGTCTTTACTGTCACTTTTGATCACATTTTATATGTGTCTTCGCAGAATAAAAGTATTAATTTCTTTTCGAAAAGCAGATCCCAAACTTTTACAGGAGAGTAGATTTCAAAGTATTGATAATTTGGTTTGGGTGTTTCATATTAAAAACTTTTGCATATCTTGGCAAATCTGAGCAGGTCACAGATCACTGGGTTCTTTTTCTCAGCAGAAAAATCTGAGAAGCAGGAGATTTAAGAATAAGCCTTCATTTAATCTCAAGAGAAACATTTGAGATAATAAATCATCAGGAGTGTTTTTGAATTGAGCAAATGTAGCTGATTCATTTGCTACAAACACATGACCTGCCTGAACTCACAGCGAAGAGCATTATGCTTCAAAAACAAAGAAACATACAAACAGGCGCAAACAGTTTCTAGACTTTCCCAGTTACAGTGAAACAGTCAGAGTATCCTCTGATTAATACAACAAAATAGCATGTAAATCAGTGTCAATGGACAGTTCCATAAAAGTAATTACAATGCATATTTGTGTAGTGTCATTACAGTAATTGGAGTCTTGTGCTTAACTGGGTCACATGAAACAGTTAATGGTTTTACGCAGAAGTGGAAGGTCAGCGATTAAGCAAAATTGGACATTCAGTTGAATTCAACCTTTTTTACAGTGCAAAAAAATTTAACTGCTGCTGATTGGATGTAAAATGGGTAGAACTATACAGTTTTTTTATTTTTTATTGTATATTGGATGTTTAGTCACCAAAATGATTGTATTGGCCCGTGTGCTGCTCAGAGAGGACATAACATGCAGTCAGGAATGGATCAGAGCTCTTTGCTTGCATCCTCACATGGTCTCACTTATCAGGAGAGTGAAAGCATATTGTCCCTCACATGTGTAGACACACACACACACACACACACACACACTAATCAGAATCATCAGGACAAAGTGTTTGCTGGAGACATAGAGGCTCCTTTCTTCCTCCCTTCTCTTACTTTTATTGTCACTTTTAAATACTTTAAAACTGACCCAATTTACTTTTTTAATACACGTTGCTGGTCTTATTGTGATTTTCTGAGTGCACATTATTTGAAAGGATTATTTGGTAAATATAGAATATAATTTTGTGTGTGTGTGTGTGTTTACAGAATCCAAAGACGGCTGCTGCTGTGCGGACTATGGTTAAGGATAGAGCCATGTCAGAGCTGCAGAAGTGTTTCGGGGCCCGTATGGAGTTTGGCACGGCGGGACTGAGAGCCGCCATGGGACCGGGAGTGTCCTGCATGAATGACCTCACCATCATACAGACCACACAGGTGACATACAAGATTGTCAAAACAGCAGCTGATAATGATTGTTACAATAGTAGAGTATGTCCTGGGAAGCTATGTACCCTCCTTAAAGTCGGAATAAAATGTAAATTCATCTATTTTGTAAATGCATGTTATAGATGTTATTGTGAACAATTCATGTGTATGCTTCAATTTATAAAACCTACTCGCATACATATTCATATGTATATGTATATCTGTGTACATACAAAAACACAGCTTAAAGGAACACTCCTCTATTTTTGAAAATAGGCTAATTTTCCAACTCCCCTAGAGTTAAACAGTTGAGTTTTACCGTTTTCGAATCCATTCAGCCGATCTCCGGGTCTGGCGGTAGCACTTTTAGCTGTAGCTTAGCATAGATCATTGAATCTGATTAGACCGTTAGCATCTCGCTCAAAAATGACCAAAGAGTTTCAATATTTTTCCCATTTAAAACTTGACTCTTCTGTAGTTACATTGTGTACTAAGACCGACGTAAAATGAAAAGTTGGGATTTTCTAGGCCGATATGACTAGGAACTATACTCTCATTCCGGTGTAATAATCAAGGAACTTTGCTGCCGTACCATGGGTGCAGCAGGCGCTATGATATTACGCAGCGCCTGAAAATAGGATAACTTCCGTCAACATAACCAACGTGATCGCCTGCTTGCACAGGGAGCATGCTGGGGACTATTTTCAGGCGCTGCGTAATATCATTGCGCCTGCTGCACCCATGGTACGGCAGCAAAGTTCCTTGATTATTACACCGGAATGAGAGTATAGTTCCTAGTCATATCGGCCTAGAAAATCACAACTTTTCATTTTCCGTCGGTCTTAGTACACGATGTAACTACAGAAGAGTCAAGTTTTAAATGGGAAAAATATTGAAACTCTTTGGTCATTTTTGAGCGAGATGCTAACGGTCTAATCAGAATCAATGATCTATGCTAAGGGCAGCTAAAACTGCTACCGCCAGACCCGGAGATCGGCTGAATGGATTCGAAAACGGTAAAACTCAACTGTTTAACTCTGGGGGAGTTGGAAAATGAGCCCATTTTCAAAAAAAGTGGAGTGTTCCTTTAATGTATGTGTAGACTTAGGGTCTGTATGAAAATGCAAATTCATTCTCTGACAGTAGGTGGCGCTTATAGAAAATAAAAAATACACAGTAAGCAGAGCTGGGTAGATTACTTACAAATTGTAGTCCGTTACTGATTACATGATGAAAATTGTAGTTCGTAACGTAATCTAGGTTACTTGTATTAGGTAATGTGATCTGACTTCTTTTTAGATCGGACCAAAGTTTCACACAAATTCATCTTGGTGTGAACAGGCCTTAAAGGGATACTCCACTCATTTACTCACCTTCACGCCGTCCCAGATGTATATGACTTCCTTTCTTATGTGGAACACAAACAGAGATTTTTAAAAACTGTAAAGCATAATCAAGGTTCCAAAAGCCATTTATCACATTGTCAGTTTTCACAATGTCACAATACATTTTGTGTTAAGTGAGGATATTGATTGACATTCATTTCTCTCTTTTTGCTTCTGGTAGGGTTTCGGTGCGTACCTGGAGCAGTGTTTTACAGATCTGAAGCAGAGAGGGGTGGTGATCGGGTTTGATGCTCGCGCTCACCCCCCTAGTGGCGGCAGCAGTAAAAGATTTGCCTGTCTTGCTGCTTCTGTCTTGATCAGCCGAGGTGTCCCAGTCTACCTCTTCAGTGACATCACACCCACTCCATACGTGGTTCGTATGAACCTTCTGTAGTCATGGAGAGAAAGTTCAGGTGTATTACTAATTCTGATATGCTAGAGCCATGACACTGTGGTAAACCAAGACACATAGAACCTTATGTAGGTGTGCAGGTTAGAATCTTGACTTTGACATGTTCCAGTACCATTTATTTCTCCTCCGTTTAAATTGTTCTCTTCATAGTAAAAAAGGTAATGGTATCACAATGGTATTTTGACATATGCTATTGCACTGAATGATTACTTTAATGATTTGCATGGTACATATATTTAGGACATATCTATGGAACATGAAATTGTAACATTGTACAGTTTTTTGTTTTTTTATTTAGAAGTGTTGTCCATTGTGGTTAGAGGTTTGCTTTCTAAGATCTTTTTGAAAATGTGCTACTTCCAGCTGCAAAGAACTAATCACAAACCAATAACCAAACGCATGAGAAAGAAGAGAGAGAGAGACACAATTGCACGTGAACACATTGTGAGATTGTTGCATAAGAGTCTAGAATCGTTCATGAAGATTCTTCACCAATCATCAACTTTTCTGTTCCCATGAGTACACGGACACGCTCTCACTCATTCTCTTGTCACTCTCTCAACCTTTCCCTTTGAGCCCTCAAACAGCTTTCTCTCACTCGGTGTCCTCTAGGCCAAAAACGTTTTGGTCACTGTTATTTAAAATGTAGTATTCGTCTAAAAAACATTGATTTAAAAAAGTAAAAAATGTCATATTTCTTGTAATTTGAGAGGGAAAATGTTATGCCATCCACATAACTTGACATATTCTTTATCTCTCCAAATCTGTAACTTGGTGGCCCGGTGGTATCTAAATGTAATTTTCTCAATTTTCAGCCAAGCATGGGTCTGGGTACAAATTTTTTGCGCAGTCAGAGAGCTGCCACAGCATGATCATGATTCATGTGCGCCTTGCATGCTCAGAGCACGTTTGCTCTACTTTTTAAGTAGTGTTACTTTTAAAATTGACATGATACATTGTTGTGTTACTCTTAATAAAATATACCTACTATGTGACTAATAACTAATTTTTTTTTTTTTAAAGAAATTAATTAATACTTACTTATTCACCAATTAAATTGATGCATTAAATTGATCAAAAGTGACAGTAAAGATTTTTACTTGTTACAAACTTCTGTTTCAAATAAACACTGTCCTTTTGAAATTTCCATTTATCAAATGTATCATAGTATCCACAAAATAAATAAATAAATAAAATAAAAAATTGGATGGTTCCCCAAAAAGATGTGGTTTACAATGATTTTACAAGCGCTCTGTGTCATATATTACTGTTTACTGAAATAATTGCATCCTTGGTAAGAGACATCTTTCCAAAAACCTTAAAAATATCTTACCGACCCCAAATTTTTGAACGTTAGTATAAGTGTAAATGTAAACAACAAAAAAAATGAACACCTCTTCTCTTCGCTTCTCTTCTTTTAGCCTTTTACTGTATCACATCTAGGACTGTGTGCTGGTGTCATGGTAACAGCCTCACATAATCCCAAACAAGACAATGGATACAAGGTATCTCCGATCCCTAAATAATATGTTTGATTTGTAAGAATATAGACTTATAGATATGACCCATTTTTCAATGTGTGTGTGTTTAAGGTGTACTGGGCAAACGGAGCTCAGATCATTCCTCCCCATGATAAGGGCATCGCCACAGCTATAGAACAGAATCTTGAGCCGTGGCCTAAATCATGGGACACAGATGGAGCTCTTCAGAGTTCCCTACTCAATGACCCATACCAGGACACACACAGAGAATACTGCCAAACCATACAACAGCACTGCTTTCACAGGTACTCACAAAGATATGTCTGCAGAACTAAGAAAATGATATATTGAATTCAATTTGAACCATCTGAAATGAAGTTTTAAAAATTCCAAGATCAGTTTACTCAATGATGTGCGAGTCTGTCATCCAGGACATACCTTTATATATACCTTGTGTGTATTTATACCTCTGTGTGTGTGTATATACAGTATATATATATATATTCTGAATTCACACACTTTGTATTTTGTAATAATAAATCAGCATATTAGAATGATTTATAAAATAAAATTGTTAAATAAAATTGCCCAATTTTAGTGTTTTTCTGTATTTTTGTTTAAATAAATGCAGCCTTGATGAGCATAAGAGATTCTTTAAAAAAAATATTAAAAATCTTACTAATCCCAAACTTTTGAACGGTAGTGTACATGTCCGCCTTTTTTATACAAAATTTTTCAAGAATGATGTTGCATTCTTCAGAACCTGGCATTTCTATGTGATTGCAATGATGTTCTAAGTCAGGGGTCACCAAACTCGGTCCTGGAGGGCCGGTGTCCTGCAGAGTTTAGCTAACCAGCTAATCAAGGTCTTGCTAGGTATACTAGAAACTTCCAGGCAGATGTGTTGAGGTAAGTTGGAGCTAAACTCAGCAGGACACCGGCCCTCCAGGACCATATATATAAAATATTAACAGCTTTTCTATAATTTTAACATTTTTAACATTGAAACACTATAATTTTAACATTTTCAGAAAAATAATAAAAAATAGATATAAAATATATTTCAAATATATAAATTTGATAAAAGATATAAGTGTAGCTGAAATATTCCTAGCTCAATCATTTTGAAATCAAATCTAAATCAGTTTGAGTCCATAATGAATCTGAATCAAATCTGGAAGTCAAGTCAATACCCAGCCCTAATACTTCATCAGTCTGATTTTCATTCGTCTTGTGTTTTAACAGGGAGCTGAATAAGAATACAAAGGTGAAGGTTGTCCATACGTCAGTTCATGGGGTGGGCCATATTTTTGTCCAGGCTGCTTTTAAGGCCTTCGACCTTCAGCCTCCATATGCTGTGGAAGAGCAGAAAGATCCTGACCCAGAGTTCCCCACAGTCAAATACCCCAACCCTGAGGAAGGAGAGGGAGTCTTGGTACAATACACTGACACACACACACACACACACACACACACACACAAATTGTATTGTTGAAATGGTCTTTTTATGACATTTGGGAAAAGTACTTTTTTTTTGCTCTTATTATGTAATGCCAGATGCAGTAATCTGTGTTTGTGTATGTAGATGCTGTCCTTCGCACTGGCAGATAAAGAGGGAGCAACTGTTATTCTGGCAAATGACCCTGATGCTGACCGACTAGCTATTGCAGAGAAGCAGGAGAGGTCAGTGTTATTTGGCATTCCGTGTGGATTGTCATTGAGTGTGTCATTTTATGAATAGCAATAATTCTTTCTGTAGTGGGCAGTGGAGGGTATTCTCTGGGAATGAGTTGGGTGCTTTGCTCGGATGGTGGATTTTCCAATGCTGGAAGCAGCAGAAAGAAGATGGAAAAGCCTCCATTAAGGATGTCTACATGCTATCCAGCACCGTCTCCTCAAAAATCCTCTGTGCCATCGCTGTGAAAGAGGGCTTCCACTTTGAGGTACCTCCGCTTCTAATAAAAAATGTGATTATTCACTCTTGATGTTTTTACTGACTGTCTCTCTGCATGTCTCTTTTGCAGGAAACTCTAACAGGCTTTAAATGGATGGGAAACCGAGCCAAAGAGCTGATGGACCAGGGAAAGACTGTTCTGTTTGCCTTTGAAGAAGCTATTGGTACTCTGACATCCACACCGCTAAACATTTATGTGCATTTGTGTGTCGTTCTGGTGGGAACAGTCAGGATTGGTAACCCACTGATCCTGGGTTCAAACCACAGACCCTAGAGACGTGAGGGGCCTCGGCAAACTTCCAAGTGGGCCAATGGATGACTTAAAATATTCAAATTAATAGAATTAGTCATAAAATGATCGAACTTAACATACCACATATATACAGTATATGTATATACCACATAATTAGCACAAATACTGGAGGAAATGCCTTATAAATTCAAAAATAAAATTCAAGATATGAGTGCAAAAATGCCCCTGTATGGGTTTTTGTCTTATATTTCTATCATATATAGTTTAGAAATGTCACAAGCAAGACTGCCGTTTTTTCTGCACGATTGCAAATGTGATATTGATCGTTCAATAAACAAGAAGGTAATATTGTGTTACATTTTAGACACAATATTGTCTGTTTTGCTCAAACAAGAATATGTCCTAACAAAGCCACAGAAGAACTGTTGTGCATCTCTGCAACACACGGCGGGGTTTCGTTACTGAATGAATCTGTGGTTTTTAAAGGGGTCATATGATGCGATTTCAATTTTTCCTTTCT